AATAAGAAACGTTTATAGACAGTAGACTTAAGACGGCGCTAAGGCTTGGTATTTCTTATCTACCGTCTTCAAAAAAATAATAATAATATTAGCCAATAAGAAACGTTTATAGACAGTAGACTTAAGACGGCGCTAAGGCTTGGTATTTCTTATCTACCGTCTTCAAAAAAATAATAATAATATTAGCCAATAAGAAACGTTTATAGACAGCAGACTTAAGACGGCGCTAAGACTTGGTATTTCTTATCTACCGTCTTCAAAAAAATATAATAATATTAGCCAATAAGAAACGTTTATAGACAAGACTTAAGACGGCGCTAAGCTTGGTATTTCTTATCTACCGTCTTCAAAAAAATAATAATAATATTAGCCAATAAGAAACGTTTATAGACAGTAGACTTAAGACGGCGCTAAGGCTTGGTATTTCTTATCTACCGTCTTCAAAAAAATAATAATAATATTAGCCAATAAGAAACGTTTATAGACAGTAGACTTAAGACGGCGCTAAGGCTTGGTATTTCTTATCTACCGTCTTCAAAAAAAATAATAATATTAGCCAATAAAAAACGTTTATAGACAGCAGACTTAAGACGGCGCTAAGGCTTGGTATTTCTTATCTACCGTCTTCAAAAAAAATAATAATAATATTAGCCAATAAGAAACGTTTATAGACAGTAGACTTAAGACGGCGCTAAGGCTTGGTATTTCTTATCTACCGTCTTCAAAAAAAAATAATAATATTAGCCAATAAAAAACGTTTATAGACAGAACTAAGATAAGGCTTGGTATTTTCTATCTACGTCTTCAAAAAAATAATAATAATATTAGCCAATGAAAACGTTTATAGACAGCAGACTTAAGACGGCGCTAAAATTTCTTATCTACCGTCTTCAAAAAAAATAATAATAATATTAGCCAATAAGAAACGGTTATAGACAGCAGACTTAAGACGCGCTAAGCTTGGTATTTCTTATCTACCGTCTTCAAAAAAATAATAATAATATTAGTAAGAAACTTATAGACAGCAGACTTAAGACGGCGCTAATTGGTAATCTATCAAAAAAATATAATAATAACAGTGATATGACATCTCGCCCGAATTTTATCAGTTCCACCGCCTCAGTAATTAATTATCTGTTTTCCTCTTTCCTCTTCCATGTGGGTTGGTGAGAAAGGGGTTTTAACTGAGTCACTGTTAATGGCAAAGAATGTTGTGTCTTACTATCTCTTCTCTTGCTTTCCTTACTCCTCTCATATCTCTTTTTTTTCCTCCTCCTCCTATCTTTCCTCTTTCTCTCCTCGGTCCTCTCATCCCTCCTCTTTCTTTTCTCGTTCCTTATGTCTCTTCTCTTTCTCTTCTCCCTCTTCTCATCTCTTCTCCCTCTCTCCTCCTTCTTCCCATCCCTCTTCTTCTCTCCTCCCTTTTCTCATCTTTCCTCCTTCTCTCCATCCCTCCTCTTTCACTCCTCCCTCTTCTCATCTCTTCTCTTCTTCCTCTTCCTCTATACCTCCTCTTTCTCTCCTCCCTATTCTCATCTCTCTTCTCTCCGTCTCTCCTCTTTCTCTCATCCCTCTCATCTCTTCTCCTCCTCTCCCATCCCTCCTCCTCCCTCTTCTCGTCTTCTCCTTCTCCCTTCCCTCCTGCCAACCCTTCTCCTTCTCTCCTCCCTCTTCTCATCTCTTCTTCTTCTCTCCTCCCTCCTCCCATCCCTCCTCCTTCTCTCCTCCCTCTTCTCATCTCTTCTTCTTCTCTCCTCCTTCTCCTCCCCTACTCATACGTACCTAATGATGTAGAGTCCTTCTTCAGGCAGAGTGGACTTGTTGTGCTTGAGGACGTGGTACATGTACTCGTCGTGGCCCCAAGACATGTACACATTGCTGAGGCCGCAGTTGGGTTCGTAAATCCCGTATTTGGAACTGTAGAGGATAATTGTGACCATTGGTGACAGATATCATTTAAAAGATATGTATTTGATTATGTCATTTATTCGCGGGTTCTGTCTCCATCAATCTTTGTCCAAAAAGAAAGGTTTGTGAGGTCTCTGCGAACGAAATTTTAAGATGGATAAGCGTGAAGCACGTACTTTAGTTTTGGGTCCTTCATATCGGGGTTGTCGTGGAAGGTCGTGTCCCTGTAGACGACGGACTTCCCGACCTCGCAGCCGACCACGAAGGTGTCGCCGACGGTGGAGAACTGAGGCTCCCCGTAGAAGGCCATCACCTGGGGGGGGGGGAGATGCATCGGTTCAGGTTAGTCAAGACGAGATGTTTGTGAGTCAATTTGTCTATCTATGAATATGTCTGTTTGTTGCATGTTTATTCATCTTTCTGCTTTTCTTTTCATTTGTCTACATATTGCCTGTTTACTCCTTTATATCTATTTATTCATCTGTCTCCATGCCTGCCTACTATGTGTCCTTGGCTCGACGCTTTTTGACTCCCTTTTCCTCTCTTTCTCCTGCCTTCCCCTGCCCTTCCTTGCCCTGGCCGTCCCTCACTC